CATTATCTATGATGATAGGCCACACATTTTGCCTAACCAGTGAACTAAATAACAGGAAGTTCACACTGGCCAATCAGAAAGCAGCTTCCTCGAGGTGTATAAGAGCAGGGACCTGATCCACAAAGGGTTCAAAGCATTACCACCTGTTGTAACTCTATAGTTTATCATCGGCTAACGAATGTCGTAGCGCTACGAAAGCTTTGCTGGATCGGGACCCAGTTTCAAAATGGTGACTATGTCAGTTCAAAACTCCACTTTGAAAAACATTTTGACTAATTTTATTACTTACAATCTCAAAACTGAATGAAAGAACATCAGTAATGCAGGGCTCCAGATAAGGGCCATATCGGCGTATGTACGGATACAAAATTTGCACGATACGGTAGGAAAAAATTTATAAAATGTAGCAGATACGCACCACGGCAAAGGTGTACAGTCTTAGAATCATTTACAGACGTATTTATCTGAAAAACTAATTGTTTTATTGTATATTGACCTGTTTACACAAGTCTAGCAATGTTGTGCATATATGAAACGAAACACAAGATTACTGATACTCCATTAAATTCCATTCAGTACCCTAAATGTAGGCTTAAGGTTTTCGAGTACTCCTATATTGAAAAAATAAGGAGTACGGACTCCTGGTGTTCAAAAATTATCTGGAGCCCTGGTAATGTCTAATATATGGCTGAGATTAAATGACAGTAGTAATTACTCAACAGGCCATGGACAGTCTCTGAAATGCTGGATGACATACCTTCCCATGTAAGATAACTAGATAAATCACAAAGTACAATAAAGTCAAAGGCTTGGCCTATTTCACAATAAAACATTGTTCTGTTATGACATAATTTCAGGGAATAGCATTGAACTTTACGCCAAGGGGATGAACATTTTTTTGAGAGGGTGGTGAGTTGGTGTGATCCATGTAAGTGGCATCCTCGATGATCTCCAGGGTATACCTTACGATCACTCTCCACTATACCCTGGATGCATCCACGGCTTGGCCCGGTAATTATATTACCTCCCTTTGCTGGCTCCGCATTCTCACAGTAGCCAATCAGCTAAGCTGCCGCGAAGGTTTGTTCGCAGTACCACTCAGATTTTTGGAGAAATAATACAGACAAATTGAGAGATCTGAAACTTTCAAAAAAATATATAAAAGAACTCCTTCCATATCTTTCAGAGTACCCTCTGCATCAATTGTGTTGCCAAGTTTAAAGAAGCGGAAGTGAGTTGTGATTGGTACATTCAACTTCCCAGCATAGACACCTGATGGGATAAAAAGCCAACCAAGGGAGGTAATAAATATGTAGCGCTTTGAGCATGCTCTGGATGGACTATGGCGCATAAGAAATATCCATTTATTGTTATTATTATTATTATTATTAATAAAATCATCGGGCCAAGATGGGGATGCATCCAGGGTATAGTGGAGAGTGATCGTAACGATTACCCTGGAGATTATCGAGAATGTGTAAGTAGCTGAGGCAGATATACATGATGGCTGCATAGCAATTGGAATTGGAGAAAAGGTACAGGTAGTAGTCATTAATTGTTTTTATGTTTGTAAGAATATTCAGGAAACACAAGACTTCAACCTCACCCCCAGCCTGTTCTAAAATAGACGTGTCAAATATTGCAAAGATTGTATTCAGAGAGAAGCCATTTAAATACGGAGTAATTACTTAAAATACTTAAGATACTGTAACTAAAGTTGATTAAAAATCAACAAGGCATGATCCTCGACCCATCATGGTTCAGACTCGCTGAGAGTCTTAGTGTATGATAAATAATCATAATTTATGTCTTGAACACAGCCGGAGTAATCCTTCAAGCATGTATGACTCAGGTTGTCAAATGTCATGCAGTACTTGTGCAAGGTACATTTCAATTATCCAGGAAACACAAAAGACACACGAGAGACAGATGCTCTTCCTGGTATAAGTCAACAGGCCTTAGCAGGCTACTTCCTTGCACATTCAGGCTTTCAAACTTCTATGCTTATTTCTTATGTAAACATCCTAACAGACTGATGTTTTCCTGCTGAATAATGAATGGTCACTGTTAACACCAGCAGGTGAGAGAAACTCTGGGTAAACAGGCTGTGGTTGGTCATGCATTACTGTACTAACATGATGTGATGACTGTGTGTGCACCGTGATAGGAATCTGATATGGATAATACACAGATGATTCAAATTCAGTCGAAGTACTTCAATATGATGGGTTTAACAGGCGAAGTACTTCAATAAGATGGGTTTAACAGTAAACTCTTAACACTGACTGACTGACTGAGTTTAGTTTTACGCCGCTTTTAGCAATATTCCAGCAATATCACGGCGGGGGACACCAGAAATGGGCTTAACACATTGTGCCCATGTGGGGAATCGAACCCGGGCCTTCGGCGTGTCGAGCCAACGCTTTAACCACTAGGCTACCCCACAGCCCCAAACTCTTAACAAGCTAAAGGAGAACACTGTAGATATTTCGTAACTTTGTGGAAATTTATAATAGGGCTGGGACGGATCCAAATTTTCTACCCGGGTACCCCACCTCCTATTACCCTACCCGGATACCCGTTATGTTAATTCCTGACATCAAATTTGCAAGAAATGGCAATATATTCTTCAGCTCAGAGGCTAAAGTTTCAAGTTTTTCAATATCTTATCCATGTACTATATTCAAAAGAAGTGACTGTACATTATGTCTAAATCTTCAAATACAATCTTTTAATCATGAAAGAAAAACATATTACATTGTTTAATCTATTAGTCACATGATCATAACGGGTCCAGGTACTGAGATGGGTACCCGGGTCCAACTCATTACCCACCCATCCCGGGTATCCGGGTTACCTGTCCCAGCCCTAATTATGAATACACAATCCCTACAAAGTTTTCCTTAAGCAAAAGAGAAATTTATATCTTTCACTAGTAATTTCACATTTTGTATAGGTTAGTGCCCTGAAAGACCCATGGACAAGGGGGCCAATCAACTTATACCAAGTGACCCACAAACCCGATGTGTTCCACATGACAATGTAAACAGTAAAAAGTTAATTGACAAAGTTGTACTGGCGGGGTAACTATCAAGTATAACAACCTGTAGAAACAATGGACATAACGCCCCTTAGTGGTATTATACAGCATATCATCTTCCTGTTGGTCGGAAGTCCAAGATGAACATGGCTCAGGACATTTACACTAGGGGTGAAATGGTACACTCTTATCACGGTATGGTACGTATTGCGGTACAAGGCCTTCGGTATGGTCCGTTTCGGTTTGGTATATGAGATATGATCATAATGCAGAAAAGAACAGAAATTCAAAGGAATACATAGATTTTGACAAAATGTTTTGATTTCTAGACATTTAGGAAAGGTCAACAAGGAGACAAAGTCATCAATATCCCCCGCAATGGCAAAATGCTCTTCATGATTATGTCTGCGAGTTATGATTATGTCAAATATTTAGGTGTGTATACAGAAAAGTGGGAGGAGAGTATTGAAAGGTTTTTAAAGTACTGCTCCAGAAAGGAGCACTATCACCAATTTCAGTCTAAGTCAAACTTGTTGCCATGGAAATGCCAAACATATTTTATTCCGAAATCCAAAACTACCAAAAGGCACCAGTACACCGCCAGATCTATCTATGTGCCAAGTTTGGTGAAGAAATAGTGAACGGTTTTAGAGTTCTGCTCCGGAAAAGAGCACAACCACCAATTTCAGGCTAAGTCTAACTTGTTGCCATAGAAACGCCAAAAATATTTTATTCAGAATTCCAAAACTACCTAAAGGCACCAGTACACCGCCAGATCTATCTATGTGCCAAGTTTGGTGAAGAAATAGTGAAAGGTTTTAGAGTTCAGCTCCGGAAAAGAGCACTACCACTAATTTCAGTCTAAGTCGAACTTGTTGCCATGGAAACGCCAAAAATATTTTATTCAGAATTCCAAAACTACCAAAAGGCACCAGTATACCACCAGATCTATCTATGTGCCAAGTTTGGTGAAGAAATATTGAACGGTTTTAGAGTTCTGCTCCGGAAAAGAGCACTACCACTAATTTCAGTCTTAATCGAACTTGTTGCCATTGAAACGCCAAAAATATTTTATTCAGAACTCCAAAACTACCAAAAGGCACCAGGACACATCCAGATCTATGTAAGTGCCAAGTTTGGTGAAGAAATATTGAACGGCTTTAGAGTTCTGCACCGGAAAAGACAAATGTGCACGGATGGACGCACGCACGGACGGAGTCCATTTTAATACCCCCCTGCAAAACGCATTGCAGGGGATAATAAAATGATGGTACAAAAACTGAAAATACCGAATTTTGAGGTTGCATTAAGTATACCAAACCGAAGGCACAGTACCGCAGTTCTACGGTTCTACTAACACTGTAGTATACCGTTTCACCTTTGGGGGAACCCCTCAGTGGTTTATTTGGACAGAGAAAAACTGCACTTGTTCAGTAAAACAATGGGAAAATTGGGAAATTTGTAGTACAAATAGTACAATGCTTTGCCAAAATTTGTACCAGCCCAGGGCTAGCAGGCTTAAGTTCTAACTCTACCCAAAACCTGATGGTATGACTCTTGACACACCAAAGATCTTCATCCGAACGAAACTAGGATTCCAGCCCACAATCAAGGAATGCAACTCATAACCAATTGTAACACTACACAGCAAATTGTGGCAGCTGTATAAGACAATAGTGCTTTACTCACCTTTTGGTAACAAACCAAATAATCCTGAATCCAGGTAAAGTGAAGCAAAACTGATGTCTGTCAGTGAGAATTGTTGAAAATAACTTCTCCAATATCAGTGCACTAGCATTTGTTTGTAATAGAGCTGATTGTTGTTTGTTGTAATAGTTCTTTAATTCAGATGGGCACTTAATCTTTTTTTAAATAATAATTCTTATGGATTACTTATGACCTCTTGCATTTCATATTGAACTTTGGACCCACCTACGAGTAAAACAATCTGACCACTCACCTGTATCTTCATCTGATGAATCATCTGAGTGATAATCTCCCTCAGACTTTTTACTAGACTGGCGTCTTCGTAAAACAACATCCTCGCTACTGCCTGTAGCCACCTTGTCAGTCCGAGCTACATCCTTTGAACCACCAGTGCTTGTCTCTGCATCAGTCCTTGCAACTGTGTCACTAACACTAGAATCATCAAATACATTCACCTCGATATCTTCACAAGTATTCCGATTCTCTTCCTGGACAACCTCATTTAGGTGGTCACAACCATTTTCTCTCACATCTGTTTTGTCTTTAAATATTTTGGTCACAGTTTGGGAATCGCTGCCATTGGGTTCTGCCTTTCCCTGACAATCTACTTCTGAAGATAAAACATTTTCATCGGTCACCTTTTTCCTATTGTCAACACTCACACTTGTATTGTCCCTATCGACATGAATGTTTGCTTCATCACTATTTGACTTTTCTGCATCATTTGCACTTGTGATGTCTGATGGCTTCACTTCATCACTTTCAAAATATGCACTGTCAGCAGTTTCTACTGATGCATTTTTCACCATATCTTCATTCTTCACCATTTCACTCAACTTTGCAATGTGATCTTGTACACGTGAGCTTTCATCACTTGTATCTGTGTCAGTGCGGAGAAAACTAAACATATCAGACACTACTTGTGTATTCGTTCGACCTTGTTCCTGTGACACCAACTTTGGTCTCATTGATACTTCCTCTTCTTCTGAAACGTCATGTATCCCATTCACAATGTTACCATGACAACCAGCATCAGAAAAATCCATTTTCTGTTTGTCGACACTGACATCTTCTATCCCTGATGTGGAAGTTACCTCCCCCTGCTCACCAGATCGGACTGTGGGTGTCGCCACATCACTTTTACAGGCATCAGTGGTGTCACTCTTCCCTCCTTTAATACTGACAGTTTCTGTTTCATGGTTATTCATGGTTCCATTTCCTACTGTAGGATTTGGGGAAACAGTGTTACCTTTCACTGCAAAAGTATTTTCTTGCTTCAGATGACAGATACATTTCCTTACAATCTGAGGCTGGTTTTGTGCTTGAGATTGAAGCAACTTGGTGTCACTAACCGACTTTTTGATGAACTGTGGTGTTGAGACAATGCCTTCATTTTGACCTCTGAGTTCTGAACACCTATTTGGATCACAATTTTCACAATGCTCAACATCCTTGAGAAAGCCAAACAGTTCACTGATACACTTTGTTGATCGGTCAACCATCATGTGTTTTTATTGTTCAGCAATGACTTATTGTATTAGATTTCATCTCTTGTCTCCCTTTAGGCTGATCATGTACTTGGGACACAGAACATTGCTGAAATGACAGGGACAACATGGATGACAGATACTCATATATAAATAGCAGTATCAAAAATAGAAGTTCTTTCAAAATCAATTCTGTGCAATTTTCAGTGATTTCCTTACTGACCTTTCCAGAAAATATTTTTCAAACATAGCATAATATTCTGGATTAATATCTATAGTTTAAAACTGGATAAAAGATACATGATATATGCACAATTACATACACAACATACAACACGAGTCACACAAAACCATTGACATCCACTGTTAACAACATTGTTTAACATGTTTAACCTACAAAATATTTTCAAAACATTGCTTGACAGACATTAATGTCAGAGATCCCTACAAATGAAGCAACACCTTATGATTAAATATAAAACTAGTCAACTTAGAAATTAAACATGTAAAATCATAACAATTATAATAATCACAACATGAAACACTATATACAACTTTGTATACATCATGATAAATCTTCTGGTGTCCCCCGCCGTGATATTGCTGGAATATTGCTAAAAGCGGCGTAAAACTAAACTCAGTCAGTCAGTCAGTCAGTCATGATAAATCTTGGGCTTGGAAACACACTGCACCTGTCAACTATAAAAGTGATTATCCACGAGTTCCACCCCCTTAACAAAGGTAAGCTGCACAGTGTACACATCAACCCCATTCTCGCAGTTGCAAACAACCACACCCAGTCAAAAATTACAATAGTTGCCTACCTAGTACAGAGTGGCATGATTGCTTGCATCAGTGCCACACACCTCTGAGGTTAATCATATATTTTATAAATTTTGGATGTGTACACACTTTCATCTGCTGTGTGTCACATGCTTCAATAAAATCTGATAATAAGGATATACCTACACTGTCTTTATTGATTTATGAGCAATTAACATCAATAGAGTCATAATTTCACAAAATTCTTTGTTTTGTTTGTTTGTAGTTTAACACTCAGCAATATTCCAGCTGTATGTCCACAGTCTGTAAATAATTAGTCTGGACCAGTTAATTCAGTGATCAACAGCATGAGCAATTATCTACGCAATCTGGGACAAGATGACATGTGTCAGCAAACTCATGGTCAGCTAGCCTGACCACCCAATCCCCTTAGTTACCTCTTACAACATACATGCAGGGATTGTTATAGACAATTTTAACCCGGATCTTCAAGAGTAAAAATGCCTTGTTATAAATCAAAACAAGGCTATGATCTGTCTGTTGTATTATGTCCAGAATCGCTGAAAGCTCACATGATGTTGGACAATAACAAGTCCAAATCCTTCACACAGAATTTCTGCAAACGACTCCACTATATAGATACATGCATATAAATATCATAGCTCTACGTAAACATTCATACATGAATGCGTGCGACACGTGTTGTCAGTTAACTTCAATAGGCAAAGGACCACATGAATACCGTTAACGTTTTTTCTACGGTGCTAATTTACAAGCATACATGCCAAAACAACAGCTCTTTTCTGCAGTCTAATAGCTACACTGCTTGTTAAAGAAGGCATGCAGTTGTCACATACGATACTGACAAAATTCATTCGTTGGAATATTTATGTTAGAAAAACGTGAACTATCGTAACTTAGCTTAAGGTAAATGACTAAATAAATGAAGTTACCTGCTCCCTGACCCATTTAGATATCTACACCAGCACACATACAGATATAAATTAACATTGTAAGTCCGTTTGACCTCCTTTCAACGTGACCACTTCCTGGTTTCGGGAGCAGTCATTGTTACGGAATGAACATTGCGTTCTCAATGGTTCATAGGCATGTGGGCTGTTGTTTCGATATTGACCAATCACTGTTTAATCGATACTATTCACTCACACTTTACTAGTGGTCAGTATTTGATATATATTCATATATGCCGGATAGACAAATGGGTACATGGCAAAGGGACAGATCTTTAAATTTCATTGACTGCATATGTTAAAGCTCTCTAGCTGTTGAGACTGAGGACGTTTAAAACAAATTTAAGTGTCTTTTAATAGAAAAAAGCCCGATAGGTTTCGTATGCTCTTGAACACAACATTTGTCATTGTCTTTTTCTAATGAAATGTATTTCATATAATCAAGGACATTTCACCGTAAACTTGCCTTAGTGATGCTCCCGATATCCTTGACGTGGTATGACAGACAGGTAACTCAATGTAGGACAACACTGTGACATGGTTCGAGGCACAGGTAGTGTATGGTGTATATTTCCATAACATTGACATCGGTCCCACCCTGTCATTATATATACCCGACTGCTGTCTTGTGTACAGGCTAACATAACACGTACGACCGTCAGTGTAATGACGTGGTGTATATTTCCATAACATTGACATCGGTCCCACCCTGTCATTATATATACCCGACTGCTGTCTTGTGTACAGGCTAACATAACACGTACGACCGTCAGTGTAATGTTCGTAAAAACGGTGCGTTACCGTGGCGTTGTCACATCCGCGTAGATCCCATAAGAAAACAATATGAGGTATTTCCCTGTTTACTATATAAGGCATTCATACTGGATTTTCAGTTGAGATATTATATATATTTTAAAACTTCACCAACCGTTACATAATTAGGCTCTCATTTTTCCCGGGGTGGTTTTCTTGAGTGTCCCGTACATATAGAAATTGTTACTTCACGTCAAAATAAATCAGTTTTCAACGTCATTGGTATGATGAACCAGGTTAGAAGTATTGAAAACATCCCTTGATGTGACACAACTATATGTATATAAGGGCGTCATAAAATCAATATAAACATATTGGGAGTGTGGTATGTGTGTGGTGTGTGTGGTGCGGGTACATCCAGTATAAGATTCATACATTATACCTATGCATGGAATCGAACGCGGATCTTCATGGTGATCAGTCAACGCTTTAAACGGAGCTATACCACACCATGACATAGGAGGGATAGGGGATGTCACATATATGTGCACACTCGCAATATTCTGCTACTCTTGCCTCTGTTGCCATGTTGGAATTAAAAAACAAAACAACAACAATAAATTATTGTTTGTAATACAGGCATTGACATTGCATTTAACATTTCAAAATAAAATTCAATTTCTGCATGCATACTATTTTTAATTGCCATAAAACAAAGTTATATACCTCCTTCCGTGTGATAATGTTTCTGTGTGATAGCTGTCAGGTAAGTTTATACATACACACGGAACCAAAGCCAGGCCGGTATTTTCCTCATGTTTATATACCCGTGCCTGTGCTATCTGCACGTGTCACGTCCGGGGAACTCTCTACAATTTCATGTTTCAACTTTCCTGATTTGTTGTGTTTACATTTAAAACACAGACCACATTTAGCAAACTCAGAGGACAATGTCCGATAATGGTGTGAAATATAAGGTCACTTGTACTTATTCATTTTCACATGTGCACACACATTTTGCACACACGACATTTACAAATTAAATGTGTGACGGGAATAAAGGCGACGTTCACTCTTATCTCTCTGACTATAGCCAGCAAATTATTTCACGGACCTAACAATTTAGAAAGGGTATTGATACTTCGTGAAGAAATATCAAGTACGTGTGTAATTAATCTGTTGCTTATCGAGCTCACTTTTAGTCACGACACACTGGCCTAGCAATTAGATAAAGTTAACATAAATGAAATACTGAAGTAGTTCCATTGAACAATGCGCCTACCTTGATCTATACTCCGATCATCACCAAAACTCGATACGGGAGCTAAAATTAAGGAATCTAATTGTTTGAAATACAATTGTTTGCTTACATCACAATCAATGCTTCTTCTTAATTAGCATATTCTGCAATTCAACCTTCCATTTTTTTGGTCAAAAATATAAACATCCGGTAGAAAAAAAATGAAGCCAATGATTACTCCCTGTGGCGGGACATTCAGCGTGTGGAAACAGGAAGTAAGATGAGAAGTTATAAGCACTGAAAAGTTCAATATAACTGTTACGTCAGTAGGAGGTAAAGTAGCCAATTACTTTACAGAGTAGCCCACAGTGAAATGCGACATGTTAAATGCTCGAGACCCCAACCGATTTGTCAGATACCAATTGCCAAGATTGAGTTCTCGCACTAAAGTACTGTCGGAAATGCTAGAAAAATGCTTTTTAGCCTTAATATCTTTATAAAGGTGATAAATGTACTATGTTGTCAATATATCAACTCGCCTATTGTCTACCTAATTTTTATTTCAATCGATTTAACATTCCCATGCATTTAAAGGGCAGTTTACAGGAGAGAATTTGGTACCAAAACAGCAACTTAATATCTTTCAGAGTTCAACAGAAATCTGAAATAGTCTTTACATTTATGCTAATAATACAGGTGGTGTAAAAATATGAATTAACGTCTTTCCTAAACAAATAAATATTCAATGTTTGTGTTACTTTACTTAATTATCGTTTCTTTATTGAAGAAATATTATTATAAATGTTAAGTCTTGATAAATAAGTTTCCCGTCATGCATGCACATCTTTATCACAGCGTCCACTATGGCCAACGATTTGCAGTCGATTGTTGCAAAGGTTTATAGTTTTTTCTGCTTAAAAAAGACAGAGGTAAACCTTTCATTAGTTTAGAAAGGGTTTATTACAGAACTTGTAGAGCTGTTGGCATGTCTTACCAACAAGTTTACAATATTGTAAACAAATCAGACAAGACAGGGACCGTCTCAAATGCAAAACCGGGACGTAAAACCATCCTTGGCAACTTTGACAAGGGAGTGCTTAGACGGCCGGTCTACAAACTTTATGAGAAGAAAAATATACAGTCTAAAGTAGCTACACCAGTGACTTCGTTAAATCTTTGGCCAATGTTCACAACTAGATTAAACTGACCGAATTACATCCATATGTTTTCAATGAAATATACTGTTGACATGCAAAACATTTCTTAAAACGTTGCACATTTCTACAATCAATCGATAAGATAACACAAGTGATTGGACTCTTTCCAATGTACAGTAATTCGTATGTTTATTTCAAAACAAACACACATACACAAATGATCCCTTACATAACCGATACATACGTACACATATACTATAGAAAACATGCACACATATTCAACATTTTGCAGAAAACATCTATTGAGATGACCCCTCGCCCAAGCGTGTGCTCAGGTGTCAATTTCACCTGTCGATACCGTGGATGCTGATGACGTAACACAGGCAATTAATGTTTGTATCAAATAACGTCCCACTACCCCTTATTTTTCTAAGTTTTTGGTATTTTCATCAGTAAAAACACATTTTAGGGCATGTCTCAAAATTTATTCTCTCGGTCTACATTAGGTAGATGTTTCTTGAAGTGATATTTGTTAAGTTCAGATATCTCGGACAATATATGCACAATCTAGTATATTGAGAAAACTCAAGAGGCTATAATGTGATAATGTACACATTTAAGTTGTTTTCATGATAACATGGTTAAACTTGTTAAATCGATACAAGGATAGAATAAAAATTGATTTATAATCTTGTTGTATCTTAGTAATTTAATTATTTTACCCATAAACTGATTTTTTTAATGTTTATATGATGTTTTAATGTGAAGTTGAAATGATGTACAATTTTTCCATTGGACCAGAGACCAGTCACATTACTGCGAATCTGATGTTCATTTATATATAAGTGTATGAACGACACAATTTTACATTCACATTCACAACTGATTCTTGAAACAGGGACCACTTTCATATTCCTGGGAAAACACCTGGGAATTCCCAAGCATGAATATGGAGGATTACAATTATTAGGAATGGTCCACTACCACAACAGGTAAATCATATATACTGACACTACAGCTTATCTCCACTGTCCAACAAATGAGGTATGGCCATGTGTGCCGGTGGTGACTTCCTTCTTGTCCAGCAGCTGGCAAACCGTTAATCACCACCAACGGTTTCTCTGATCTCTTGTTTGGCTTAGCAGTGAATAGATGATGGAATCCTGATCCGGCCTACAGCTTTAATTCCCACAACTGTTATAGTATTTTTGTACAGAAGGAATGAAATATCCACAATTTTATTTATGTCGCTGAAATCCTGTACTGATTCTATATTTTAAATCTGACACAGTATGTGGCTATAGGGTCACATGGAAATATAATGAGTGATTACTGACATTGGCACTGAAGATACTTAAGCTTGAGGTTAGTTTTGAACTTTGCATGTTGTTATCAGTTGTGCCTCCCAAAATGTGGAACTGTATTTTATTGTTGTAGGTTTGTGACAGGATCAGACTAACATTGACCCCATATCAACATCATTCCTACAGGTTACATTTTCCTGAAATTTTAGTAAAAAAAAAAACAAGATGAGTATTGAGTGGGAAGAGTAGACACAACACTAGACACAACTTAAGACCTCTTGCTGGGCTGCCCCTCTGTACAAGTAAAGAGCGGAGCATATTTATAATCACAGTGTTCCTTGTCATCTTTTACATTTAGGACAAGCAGATCATACAAGAAAACTGGCATGACCAAATGAGTCAGCCGAGGAATTTCAGGGATATGCCTGTGTAGAGATCTTTGTTTGAGTTGGGGGTGGGGGTTGGGGGTTGGGTGGTGTCCATGGTGACATGTAATACTCGTTACCTCACGTATGGTAAAATATTTGTCTCCATTCTCAGTGTGTATGCATATAGGATGCAACAGTTTGTCAACAAAACCCTAAACACATGCTGAAGTGTGTATGGGTAATTCATCCTGCATTATTGAAAACATTTGTTCAAATATTGCATTTATTTCAGAGATGAAACCGCTGAGACAAGACTGGTTAGTGTCTGTGGTATTGACGGTGTTGGTAGTGGCAGTGCTGGTGGAATCTAAACGGAAAGAAATTATTGTGATCGGTGGAGGCATTGCCGGACTTGCAGCTGCTCGAACTATTAAAAACAACAGGACAGCAGACTACCATGTGAGAGTGTTTGAGGCCAGGAGGAACCGCTATGGTGGGCGTGTATGGACAGACAAGAAAGACATACCCCATGCCACTGGTTTGTGTATTTCTTATTTGTATGTCTGTAAGTCATGATCAGTATCATGCTTCATGCTTATGGTTATTGTTACCATGGTTATGTAACTTTGAAAGCTCAACTTACCATCATTATATGACATGTGCCTATTAATGCAGATGCATCCCTGACAGTTCATCTGGCTACGGCCCAGATAGCATTCAGACGTTGGCCCAACGTTGGCAATGGTTTTGCCAACATTGCCAACGTTGGGCCAACGTCCGAATGCTATCTGGGGGGTGGTGGGCCTCGTGGTTAAAGCATTCGCTCATCACTCCAAATACCCGTGTTCTATTCCCCACATGGGTACACTGTGTGAAGCCTATTTCTGGTGTCCCCTGCCATGATATTACTGGAATATTTCTAAAAGCGGCATAAAACTAACTCATTCAGACTTCTTGATTACTTGAATGCTTTAAAGATTCACCCTCAAGAGATACAGGGTGATTTTATGATCTTTCATATGATTTAGTCAGGCTTTTGGGCACGTACAATATGATGGGTTATCTCCCATTTCCCATATCCTCCCTCTTTCCCCTTGCCTCACTCCCTTTTCGTGCTTCTCTTGGCAAAATAACACACTTCAGAAAAAGACAGGAAATTGTCAATGGAAGTGATCACTTATTAGGTTTAAGGTATACCAAATGCCTGATGCAAGGATCTTTGAATTCACAAATATTCAAGAGCCAACTGAAAGAATATTCGTGTAAACACTCTTTAGCTGATATTTTGTTTCAGTCTGTAGCACAGAAGTGTATACTTGAAAACACTGTCAAAGCAACAGGCCTTGAAACCTAGTCTGTCAGGATTTTGTGTTCATAAAATGTCATACTGAACTGTATTTTTGCAACCACACATTAACTGAAATAAGCTAATACATGTAATTAAAAAATATTTGATAATAGATTCAATGATCTTTCCTTTTCTGGAAGCTGAAACAAGGTTATAATTAATTTGAATAAAAATGAAAAATAGTTGATAATAGCTTCCTTGATCTTTTCTTTATTTGAAGCCAAGGTTAGTTGATCATTGAATATTTTGAACAACAGTAATATGGTGGGTGTCCCTGTGCAGGTGTGGAGGCAGATTTAGGAGGTGCCGTCCTCAACTCGGCAGCCAGCAACAACCCGTTGCTCAATCTCACAAAAGATTGGAACTACAAACCACTAAATTGGGACCAATGCAGTTGTTTGTGACCAAACTCAACAAGAGATTTTCAGGAACTGAACTGGTTGAAGCCTTTATTGAGGCCAGAAAGGTATGTTTCTTGCTAAATTATTATTAATAATAGTATGAAATTATACATTTTTGAGACATGGATGGGATGAAAATATTCAGTCCTATTTACTGATGTTCCGATGATCGATTATAATCGAAAATTGATTGGTTACCCTTTCCAGACGCGAGAATCGATTGCAAAATTTCATAATCGATTATCGGTAATAATTTTTACTTAAACAGTAATGAATACCCAACTCAGACCTCAAGACAACTGGCTGTTACCTATAATTATAACTTCTGTCCGTATTATTCACAGAAATCACAATCATATTGTGTCTACTCAAGCCTCGAAATGAAGTGTAGTTGACAGAAAATGGATACATACATATATTTTGTTTTGCTAAATGTCATATTTATTGGAGCTTGCGATCACAACAAACTGTCATGTGTATTTCATCTCATTCCATGCGCATACAACTTCCGCTTACCATGTTCATGAGGGTACGCTTTTCGCTCCAACCGTGATAGCACCAATTTTAACATTATTCTCAACGATCACAAACTGATTACCGCCTCGTCATCCATTTTCTGTCAACTACACTTCATTTCAAGGCGCATTTTAGTCATGTAATGTTTTTATGACATCTGACAAGATCTGTTGTTTGTTGAATGGTCGGTGATGCTGTTGATGGTAAATAATAAACCATAAAAGAACAAAAAATTCTTTTCTTTTGTGTACCTCTACATGTTCAACCATCTGTCTCTGAACTGTACTTGGGTCAATCTCAAAATTTGTGCATATTTATGTTATAAGTCAAAATCAAAAAATAAATTATGGTAACTAATTTATCTCAGTTTATTCTAAACTTTACAGTAACAAAATTGGGGAAACCCTATTTTTATATTTGTTTTGAACCCCCCAAACCACCCAGTTTTACTCAATTTTCATGTGTCACAACTCCAGTGGCCGATGCGCAATTCGATTTTTTTTGTCTTTTTCGTGTTTTCCAAAGGAAATTTTTTAACATATCATAATTAATGATGTTACAGCTACATGCTTGGCATGGTTTGGCCTTTTTTGTACTATCTTCTAATTCTACTTCATGTTTGCAAGCAATGGCAGTGAGGAAACATGAGTCAAACACTGACACAAAAAAAATCATTTTTCTGAATTTTATCGCAAAAAAGGTGTGTACGAAATGATATCCGAGATTTTTGCATGTCCTAACCGTTACGGTGGCGACCGCTGAAACCAATTAATTTTGTGAAGCCAAACAATGCCAAGAACCTTAGACAGTAGGGGAAATCATTTGAATCCATGTGCTCAGTCAACTTTGGGGACCAGTTATTGTTTTAAAACTGATATTATTAGTGTCTGTCACTACCGTTACGGTCACTGCCGTTATCATGGGTTTTGTTACGGTAAGGACAGATTTTGTGACGGCAGTGACATTTTTCTAGTTTAATGTTGTTTGTATCTAAGTTTCAAATGTTTTGGAATCTTATTTAACATAAAAAAATTGTATCAAATTAATAAAATCAATAAGCATATAAGTATGATTTTTTTGTTACGGTAAGGACAGGGAAGTGTAACGGTGACAAAGAAGAAAATGGCTGTGATAAGATTGTTACGGTAGTGACATTACATACTGTCACAATGTCACTGCTGTAACATGCAGTCTTTACCTGTTTTTTACATGACAGGGACATCCATAAGTACAACTTTTGCCTAGATCATATTCTTCAAACATTCTTAAATATCTGATTGAGTAATTTCATCAAATTATCTGTTAAAGTAACCATATAAAACTGGCTATTATTAAAAATGTCACTACTGTTATTGTGTCACTACCGTAACAATTAATTCCAATGTCCATGCCATAACAATATCAGTTTCCTTATTTAATTAAAATTGATTTATCTGTTTATGTCTGGAATTTGTAGTGCAACTGTTTGGTAGTAGCGCTTCAAGTAAGCATAATATAATTCATATTCTCATTTTGAATATTTCGCTACAAATTACTTTACATTTGCAAATCAGAAATGAAAGAACTTTTGTGGCTTGTTGGCCCCTTTTAAGCAATAAATATAAAATTTCAAAACTCATTAGCCATGTTATATTGTAAAACTAGATAGGTTAATATATATGTACATTAAATAAATATCATCTTTGGATTTTTTCTTTCAAAATGATGTTACAAATTTCCTAACGGTAGTGACACAATTTCATGAAATTTCTAATAAAAGGGGTAAAATATGAAAAATGAAACATTGTTAAGCTTGCATAATTTATGTTTTGTATACTCAGAATACTATGAACGTAATCAACAACATTTCAAAGTAAAACAAGAAAACAAAATTTACAATTTTTGCCTACATGAAATATGCACGAATTTTTAGAATGACTCACTTGCTTACCTTCAGGAGTCTGAGACAATAACAAACACATGGCCTTGTGTAATATATTTATTATTTAGAGGGTATTCTTGTAATTTAATTTAACCGATTATTAATCAATGATTGATCGGTTGGGCCAATCCGAACGTAACTGATGATCGATTATGAAATCACAACCAATTCCCACCACTAGTCCTATTTAAGTTTACTCTTATTATGTAAATACATACAATGTATTCTATATATATATAGTGTTCTATGTGCTAGGATTAACTTGACATACTGTATTGTGATATTGAATGTATGTTCTTAATAAGCTTAATAATGTTGCTGGACTATTGCTTAACGCGGCATGAAACTAAACTCACTCAGTCTCACTCATGTTCATCATCAGAGCAAGTGACACAACCGAAACTGTGGTCAAATAGTGGGTTGCATGTGCGAATAAGGATGGCAAAATTATTCCATCTGTAATATGGCTCTGGACCACACAAGCTAGTGATGGATGTATAATGACACGGAATTTCTTGATGCATGTTAACCGTCATGAATTGTCAGAACCTTGCCATGATAAGGATTTCGCTGATTAGGAATCTGTACAAGTAAGCACTGCTCAACCAATCATCAAACTTTTCTTCCAAACCTATTTCTTCCTTTCCAGCGGTATCTGCTAGCAATAGAGAGTGTGAAGGGAGAAGACCGATCTGTGCGGAGTGTTGTCTCTCAGGCTATCGATGACTTGAGGAGTCTTGGAGATGTTGATAAGGAGGTTGTCATTAGCATCATGGAACTCCTGCCTACTTACAACTTCCAAGACTTCTCAGCTGCCCTGTATCAAGCAGATCTCATTGACTTTGGCTTTGACACATTTCTCCTGGATGGCATGGGGGAGTTGACAGACAGGTGAGTCTTGCTTTTACATGTTTCCGTGTGTGTGTGTGTGTGTGTGTGTGTGTGTGTGTGTGTGTGTGTGTGTGTGTGTGTGTGTGTAGATGTGGGTAGAGGTGCCTTGCTTTGACACATTTCTCCTGGTTGACAGACATGTGAATCTTGCTATGATGTTTATTTGGTGGGGTGCGGTATTTGGGAAGTTTGACAGACAGGTGAATCTTGCTATGATGTTTATTTGGTGGGGTGCGGTATTTGGGAAGTTTGACAGACAGGTGAGTCTTTCAATGACAGGAAACGTTTCTCCTGGGTAATAGTGTGAGAGAAGGTTTGAGATAAGCAGTTGTGTTTGGTCCCTGTTGATTGATGAATGAATTTATGCACACTGATACGATCTCAAATAATAGTTGATCTCCATATCTCAAATCCAAACTCAAAATATTACTTTGAACTTCAATGCCATTCCCCTCACATTGGGCCGACACTGAGAGTATGATGTAGTAAGTTGTTGGAGTACCTGTATGTTGCAGACTAGTGAGTGGTGGAGATGGAGAGTCACACCTGTCTATAGAGCTGCGTAATGTTGTGAGACAGCTCAAGGTCGATGACCGCAACAAGGAGGTGATCGTCAGGCTGCGCGATGGCAGCCAAGTCCGTGCTGATGCTGTGGTAGTTGCTGTGCCAGCTGCCGTCATTAGAGACGAGAGTCTGATGTTTGAGCCCATGCTGCCTGGGCCGTACAGGAAGGCATTGAAGGAAATGGGTTGGTGGAAAATTATTTTAAAGACACACCAAAGAATTACTTCTTTGTCTGATTTCGGATGGTGTGGTAGCCGAGTGGTTAAAGCGTTCACTTGTCAAGCTGAAGACCTGGGTTCGATACACATGGATATAATGTGTGTGAAACCCATTATGGTGATATTATGGTGATATTGTTAGAATATTGATTAAAGCCCCTTAAACCTGAACTCCCGTTGTCTGACTAAGTAATCATATGGAATTTGTGTTTTATTTATTATTATTAAAAAGAGAACTCAAACTCTGTTTAATTTATGGGTTTTGTATGCTTGTGACTGTACTTCACCTCTTTGAATCCTTGAGAGAAATTTGTAACAGCAGTTAGTCATTTATGTCTTCTCATAAAGATACATGTTCATCCCTCAATTTTCATGATTAATTCATTGTCTTTAAGTTGCCCATGACAATTCAATGATTGAGTTTGCCTCCAGCAACCTTTGTGTGTAATTCAAGGCAACTATAGGGATTGGTCATACAAGGCAACTATATGGATTGGTCATACAAGGCAACTCTTGGTCATCAGACAGTCAGGATCAGTGAATATTTGCTCATACTATCAGTCACTAGTTGTCATCAATTTTTGAATATTTACAGGTCACCATCAGATAGCTGGCTAAGCTACTGACTGCATTATTAATCAAACAAACATTTATCGATTGCTTGTGTCATATTTAAGATGAACTAGAAGATTTTCTCTGGCATGGAATGATTTATAATTTCAGGGACATCGTATGGCAACAAGCTGATTGTTGAGTTTGACGAGGTGTTCTGGCCGACCGATGTGGGAGTGTTTCTATTGGCCGACCGTGATGCAGAGCAGGGAATGATGCAGAAATGGTTGAACATGCACAAACTTGTAGGTCGACCTGTCCTCGTCAGTATGATTGGCGGTCCTGCATCACTAAAGTTTGAAAATATGACAGATGAAGAAGTGAAAAGTCTGGGTAAGTAATGGGAAATGCATCCACAGGTCAGTCTGCCAGGATACATTCCATGTTGGTACAATTGTATTGTCAGCTTTGCTGGACATACATGACATCTTAAACTGTCTGACCCGTGAAGATCCGACTACACAGTTCGTCCCTGATGCTAAATGTGCTTGTCTTGCAGTGTGTGAAAGCCTCACTACACTGTTCGTCCCTGATGCTAAATGTGCTTGTCTTGCAGTGTGTGAAAGCCTCACTACACTGTTCGTCCCTGATGCTAAATGTGCTTGTCTTGCAGTGTGTGAAAGCCTCACTACACTGTTCGTCCCTGATGCTAAATGTGCTTGTCTTGCAGTGTGTGAAAGCCTCACTACACTGTTCGTCCCTGATGCTAAATGTGCTTGTCTTGCAGTGTGTGAAAGCCTCACTACACTGGTCGTCCCTGATGCTAAATGTGCTTGTCTTGCAGTGTGTGAAAGCCTCACTACACAGGTCGTCCCTGATGCTAAATATGCTTGTCTTGCAGTGTGTGAAAGCCTCACTACACTGTTCGTCCCTGATGCTAAATGTGCTTGTATTCCTGTGTGTGAACATCTGACTACACTGTTCGTCACTGATGCTAAATGTGCTTGTATTGCTGTGTGTGAACATCTGACTACACTGTTCATCCCTGATGCTAAATGTGCTTGTAATGCTGTATGTGAACATCTGACTACACTGTTTGTCCCTGATCCTAAATGTGCTTGTATTGCTGTATGTGAACATCTGACTACACAGTTCATCACTGATGCTAGATGTGCTTGTATTGCTGTGTGTGAACATCTGACTACACTGTTCGTCCCTGATGCTAGATGTGCTTGTATTGCTGTGCGTGAACGTCTCACTACACTGTTCGTGTCTGATGCTAGATGTGCTTGTATTGCTGTGTGTGAACGCCTCACTACACTGTTCGTGTCTGATGCTAGATGTGCTTGTATTGCAGTGTGTGAACATCTCACTACACTGTTCGTGTCTGATACTAGATGTGCTTGTATTGCTGTGTGTGAACGCCTCACTACACTGTTCCTGTCTGATGCTAGATGTGCTTGTATTGCAGTGCGTGAACGTCTCACTACACTGTTCGTGTCTGATGCTAGATGTGCTTGTATTGCAGTGCGTGAACGCCTCACTACACTGTTCGTGTCTGATGCTAAATGTGCTTCTATTGCAGTGTGTGAATGTCTCACTACACTGTTCGTGTCTGATGTTAAATGTGCTTGTAATGCAGTGTGTGAATGTCTCACTACACTGTTCGTGTCTGATGCTAAATGTGCTTGTAATGCAGTGTGTGAATGTCTCACTACACTGTTCGTGTCTGATGTTAAATGTGCTTGTAATGCAGTGTGTGAATGTCTCACTACACTATTTGTGTCTGATGCTAAGTGTGCTTGTATTGCTGTGTGTGAATGTCTCACTACACTGTTCGTGTCTGATGCTAAATGTGCTTGTATTGCAGTGTGTGAATGTCTCACTACACTGTTCGTGTCTGATGCTAAATGTGCTTGTATTGCAGTGCGTGAACGTCTCACTACACTGTTCGTCCCTGATGCTAGATGTGCTTGTATTGCTGTGCATGAATGTCTCACTACACTGTTAGTCCCTGATGCTAAATGTGCTTGTATTGCAGTGTGTGAACGTCTCACTACTCTGTTCGTGTCTGATGCTAAATGTGCTTGTATTGCTGTGCATGAATGTCTCACTACACTGTTAGTCCCTGATGCTAAATGTGCTTGTATTGCAGTGTGTGAACGTCTCACTACTCTGTTCGTGTCTGATGCTAGATGTGCTTGTATTGCAGTGCGTGAACGTCTCACTACACTGTTCGTGTCTGATGCTAAATGTGCTTGTATTGCAGTGTGTGAATGTCTCACTATACTGTTCGTGTCTGATGCTAACTGTGCTTGTATTGCTGTGTGTGAATGCCTCACTACACTGTTAGTCCCTGATGCTAAATGTGCTTGTATTGCAGTGTGTGAATGTCTCACTACACTGTTCGTGTCTAATACTAGATGTGCTTGTATTGCTGTGCGTGAATGTCTCACTACACTGTTCGCTTGCTATGTGCTTGTATTGTAGTAGCGTGTGAACGCCTCACTACACTGTTCGTGTCTGATGCTAAATGTGCTTGTATTGCTGTATGAATGTCTCACTACACTGTTCGTGCGTGAATTGCTAGATGTGCTTGTATTGTCACTACACTGTTCGTGTCTGATGCTAAATGTGCTTGTATTGCAGTGTGTGAATGTCTCACTACACTGTTCGTGTCTGATGTTAAATGTGCTGTAATGCAGTGTGAATGTCTCACTACACTGTTCGTGTCTGATGCTAAATGTGCTTGTAATGCAGTGTGTGATGCTACTGTGCTTGTATTGCTTGTGCGTGTGTGAATGTCTCACTACACTGTTCGCCTCACTACACTGTTCGTGTCTGATGCTAAATGTGCTGATGCTAAACACTGTTCGTCTTGCTATTGCATTGTGTGTGTGAATGTCTCACTACACTGTTCGTGTCTGATGCTAGATGTGCTTGTATTGCAGTCTGAACGCCTCACTACACTGTTCGTGTGCTGATGTAAATGTGCTTCTATTGCAGTGTGTGAATGTCTCACTACACTGTTCGTGTCTGATGTTAAATGTGCTTGTAATGCAGGTGTGTGAATGTCTCACTACACTGTTCGATGCTAAATGTGCTTGTAATGCAGTGTATGAATGTCTCACTACACTGTTCGTGTCTGATGTTAAATGTGCTTGTAATGCAGTGTGTGAATGTCTCACTACACTGTTCGTGTCTGATGCTAAATGTGCTTGTAATGCAGTGTATGAATGTCTCACTACTCTGTTCGTGTCTGATGTTAAATGTGCTTGTAATGCAGTGTGTGAATGTCTCACTACACTGTTCGTGTCTGATGCTAAATGTGCTTGTATTGCTGTGTGTGAATGTCTCACTACACTGTTCGTCTCTGATGCTAAATGTGCTTGTATTGCTGTGTGTGAATGTCTCACTACACTGTTCGTGTCTGATGCTAGATGTGCTTGTATTGCTGTGTGAACGCCTCACTTAACTGTTTGTCCCTGATGCTAGATGTGCTTGTATTGCTGTGTGTGAACGTCTCACTACACTGTTCGTCCCTGATGCTAGATGTGCTTGTATTGCAGTGTGTGAACATCTCACTACACTGTTCGTCCCTGATGCTAGATGTGCTTGTATTGCAGTGTGTGAACATCTGACTACACTGTTCGTCCCTGATGCTAGATGTGCTTGTATTGCTGTGTGTGAACATCTCACTACACTGTTCGTCCCTGATGCTAGATGTGCTTGTATTGCTGTGTGAACGCCTCACTTAACTGTTCGTCCCTTTTGCTAGATGTGCTTGTATTGCTGTGTGAACGCCTCACTACACTGTTCGTCCCTGATGCTAAATGTGGTTGTATTGCTGTGCGTGAACGCCTCACTACCTGTTCGTGTCTGATGCTAAATGTGCTTGTTCTACAGTGAGTGAACGCCTCACTACACTGTTTGTCCCTGATGCTAAATGTGCTTGTATTGCAGTGCGTGAATGCCTCACTACACTTCTCGTGTCTGAGGTTATATGTGCTTGTACTACAGTGAGTGAACGCCTCACTACACTGTTTGTCCCTGATGCTAAATGTGCTTGTATTGCAGTGCGTGAACGCCTCACTACACTGTTCGTGTCTGAGGTTATATGTGCTTGTACTACAGTGAGTGAACGCCTCACTACACTGTTCGTCCCTGATGCTAAATGTGCTTGTATTGCAATGCGTGAACGCCTCACTACACTGTTCATCCCTGATGCTAAATGTGCTTGTATTGCTGTGCGTGAACGTCTCACTACACTGTTTGTCTCTAATGCTAAATGTGCTTGTATTGCAGTTCATGAACGTCTCACTACACTGTTTGTCTCTAATGCTAAATGTGCTTGTATTGCAGTGCGTGAACGTCTCACTACACTGTTTTTCTCTAATGCTAAATGTGCTTGTATTGCAGTGCATGAACGTCTCACTACACTGTTTGTCTCTAATGCTAAATGTGCTTGTATTGCAGTGCGTGAACGTCTCACTACACTGTTTGTCTCTAATGCTAAATGTGCTTGTATTGCAGTGCATGAACGTCTCACTACACTGTTTGTCTCTAATGCCAAATGTGCTTGTATTGCAGTGCGTGAACGTCTCACTACACTGTTTGTCTCTAATGCTAAATGTGCTTGTATTGCAGTGCGTGAACGTCTCACTACACTGTTTGTCTCTAATGCTAAATGTGCTTGTATTGCAGTGCGTGAACGTCTCACTACACTGTTTGGCCCTGATGCTGAGTCAAGGGAGATAGTAAAACTTCTGCGTTCAAGTTGGAAAAGCACAGTGTATTCTGGGCTAGGCAACTCATACCCTAAAGTTGGTAAGTATTGTTATGTGGTCTGCTTGTAATAGAGGTATTGTTCTGATAGTATCCCTTGTGGTGGTTGTATCATATCAGTTGAGTAAATATCTGCATCACGTTTTGGCTTTCCTAGCGTATCAAGTTGTCATGCTATGAAGAAAATGTATCTGGTGGACGAAGTTCTTGAAAGGCATTCAGAAGTTGGATGAACATGAATACATGACATGTTTCTATGAATAACAACTTGGTTTTATTCTTCACACGACGTTTCACCTAATGAAGGAGCAAGAATTAGCGCTGAAACGTCGTGTAAAGAGTGAAAAGAAGTTGTTATCCATGAAAACATGTCATGTATTCATATCTGTGGGGAGCGTTGGGGTAGCCTAATGGTTAAAGCGTTGGCTCGTCACGCCGAAGACCCGGGTTTGAATCCCCACATGGCTACAATGTGTGAAGCCCATTTCTGGTGTCCCCCGCCGTGATGTTGCTGGAATATTGCTAAAAGCGGCGTAAAACCAAACTTAGTCAGTCAGTCAGTCATATCTATGGCCACTGAATTCTGATTTAAACTGTGCTTGGACTGAATAGTTGTTAATTTGGCTTTCTCCAGGCAATGATATCAGCATGTGGAACACATTGTCAGAGCCGCTGTGCCCATATATCTACTTTGCCGGGGAGCACACTATATTCAAAGGAATCGGTACACTCCATGGTGCTTACAACTCAGGCATTAGGGCTGCTGAACAAATAATGTCTGAACTGTGTGAGCAGCGAGCTAGAGAAGAAGAGAGGAGAAGGCAGGAAGAAGAAAGGAAGAGGAAAGAGAAGGAAGAAAAGAAAAAGAAGAAAGAGAAAAAGAAAGATAAAACTAAAAAGAGTGAGAAGAAAGATGAGTTGTAACTAGTTGGAATTTTGATAACATCTGTTATTTTGAAACACATTTGTACAGTTAAAGAATGAAAGAGTGGTGTACGTGCCATGTAGCCCAGACAAATGATTATGATTGTATATTCAGCTCATGAAGAACTAATCAACAGAGATGATATGTAAAACATAGCAGTTTATATGATGATGTATCTGTCAGTATTACCAGAATTACATTGCTTGTAGAGGGGCTTCAGTTGTATCTGCCTAACTTCACAGTAAGTCATGTGACTGATAAGATCAGGCAAGTCTTGGTTGTTTCTTGGTCTACAGTTTATTTGTGACTGAAGAATATTTGGTTACCATGCTTACCCTGAAACAGAAAAAGATGTTTCTAATTATAATTGATTTTGTTAAACAGTTATATCGTGATAATGGGGAAAGTTTAGTGTGTCTTGCAGATTAACTGATATCCTTGCTACTTATCCTATAATTGAATGGACAGTTGTTTGATCAATGTATACAAGTTTGTCCTTTCAGACTTATGTGAGTATGTATGGGTTAAATTACCTATATAAATGATGAGGTAGTTTCCAACCTATATTTCTGGTCCCAACCGACAAAGACTGTTACCCACATGTCTGGGTGTTATCTTAACATTCTGGGGCAGTGGGGTAGCCTAATGGTTGTAGCTTTGGTTTGTCACGTCGAAGAACCAGGTTTGATTCCCATTTCTGGTGTCCCCTGCCGTGATATTGCTAAATGCCGCATTAGACCATACTCACTCACTCACACACCTAAGCATTCCAAATCTTGGGGTCATCACGTGACGACTTGTCAGTAGGTCACCATGACTCTTTGTTTTTTTGGGGGGGTGTCACAGACACATTGAAGGGGGTCATCATCAGCCTGTCATAGTTTTACATTATTTTGATTACTGCCTACCCATGCTGTTCACTGCAAATGATAATGTCAACTATTACGTCAGACCTATTCCAAGAATACATTGTGATATGGCCACTGTGTATCTTTATTGACTATGTATTCAGCGGCATCCCGATTCTTGTTAACACGATATCTCATGAACTGTTGTACCCAATGCCTTCAAGTTTGGTGACAGCCTACATTGGGGGATTACACAGAAACCAGTCCATTTGGGTGACCTTGACCTTATCGTCAAGGTCACAACAACACTTTGAACACTTTTTAAACTGTTGTTAACGCGGCATCTCATGCACTGTTGTATCCAATGTCTTAAAATTTGGTGACAGCCTACATTGGTGTATTACGCAGACATCAGGTGATTTGGGTGAACTTGACCTTATCTTCAAGGTCACCACGACACTTTGATCACTTTTCAAACTTATGTAAACGTGATATCTCATGAAACATTGCACCCAATGTCTTCAATTATGTCGACAGCCTACATTGGGTGATTATGCAGACACCAGTCATTTCAGGCATCTTGTATGTGACAAAAAATTAAAAAGTAGTAAATATGTCATAAATATTCCATTCATTAGCAGCGGGGGACATTAACATATCAGTGGCAAACACTTGTTAGAATGTAAATTAACTTCAAGTTAAGCCATGTAACTTGAAATATTTTTATTGTCATGTAATCTATATAATGATATTTAAAAACAATAATGTTTGTACTTTTGATAATGTCAGAAGGTTGTGGTGTGAGGCATGTTTAGCCATTGATATCATTGTTTACTTTTGCCAAAAGTTTGCCATGTGTTTTATTTGTATGTATGGTGGTGACTGATCTATATTTGCGGTGTCTGGGAGTATCTGGATGAACTTGAAATGAGTTTCTACCCACAATAAGGGCACATTTGAAAACCTTTGAATGCTTTTGAATTCAAGTGTTTGCTCATCGTGCTGAAGACATGGCTTGATCCACAACATGGGTACAATGTGTGAAGCTCATATCTGGCGTCTCCTTCCCTTCCCCGCTCTCGTTGTGATATTGCTGGAATATTTCTAACAGTGGCGTAATCCACACTCACTGACTTTATAATTTCATGTAAACAGTGTATCATGTAATCCAGAAGGAGAATGCAGGATCAGATTTATACATGTTATGTCCATTAGAAGGCATGTTGACTTATCCAGAGTTATTGAATAATCAGGTAGTTTTCACATATCATGAGTATTTGCCAAGTGCTGCTTTATCCCCTGCCTGGCAGAGTAAACCGATGTTTATGTCAATGTATTGTACCAGTATTGAGTACAAGTGGTAGGAAATGTAATCTGAGGGAGTGGTAGGGTAGCCTAGCGGTTAAAGCGTTTGTTTGTTGAACTGAAGACCTGGGTTCCATTCCTCACAATGTGTGAAGCCCATTTCTGGTGTCCCTGGCCATGATATAGCTAGAATATTGTTAGCAGAGACATGAATTAATTCTAGACATGTAGTGTTTTATGTGATCCAGAAGTAGTATGTAGGAACAGAGATGCCCAGTAGAATAGCAGGTTGTAATGTTGACTTATCCAGAGCTTCTACATGTCATGGTGAGTATTTATCCTTTGCTTGGCAGAGTTAACCAACTGCGTATGTCAGTGTAAATATTGAGTACAAGTGGAAGGAAATCTGTTTTGTGTATGCAATGATGAATATATACCAAGCACAATAGGATGGAAAAATGAACATGTTTGAAACCTGATGGTCAGTCATTGATTGTGATAAAAATCAGTGTTGAATTTTAAGAAAATTTGAAATACATCAAATTACACAGATTAGTTGAAAGAGTCAAAAGAACACTTGAAGATTGCAAGTTACAATGAATTATGTCTTCAATCTAGCACCATTTCTTGCAAATAGGGGCGATGGGGTAGCCTAGTGGTTAAAGCGTTCACTCGTCACGCCGAAGACCCGGGTTCGATTCCCCACATGGGTACAATGGGTGAAGCCCATTTCTGGTGTCCCCTGCCGTGATATTTTGCTCGAATATGCTCCAAAGTCAGTCACTTACTCACTCTTGCAAATAGTATTGAAATCAGTGTGAATTGGCTTTAATATAACCTGGTAGATTAAATATTCATTTATACAATGTACTTTCCTTAAGGTAACATTTCAAGATTTACAAGTAGGATGGAAATAGGTCTAGAATTTGACACTTCTTACAAGTAGTATTCCAAACTTAAGGGGGCTAATTGTTACGTGCAGTAAACAGGTTTATGAAAAAGAAAGGAAAAAAAGGTCAAAAGGAAACATACTGATAATAATTTATTGGAAAGTAGTGTTGCTAAGGTATTCAACACTTAGTAAAGGGCTTGGCTCTTCTCTTATGAAGATCTGGCTTTGTTAAGTTCTAACAGTGTCATACTTATGCTGTTTTCAGTGCCTTGTATGGTGATAAACATACATTTGTTACACATGTGTATTTTTGAAAGATCATTTTTTAATTAAACATCACTGAAAAATAATCAGTTCATTTTTGTCTTGTCGTATTTCAGAGGGGTGAATGACAAGTTCTTAGCCTCATACAGAAAGATTTTACAAAGACATTTGATTGAAAAAGCATGTCACCTTCCAGAAAGACAGAGGTCATAACCTTCCAACTCTAAGGACTGTCTTTTCTCTCTCTGGTGGCGATGTCTAGCAGTTTCGCTAATTGACTGAGAGAACATCGCGCAAATGTGAACCCGAGATTCTGTGTCAGAGAGAGAGAAGGTTGTGTCAGTAGAATTAATGTACCTGAGAAAGTCTTTCCCGTTCATATATCATATTCTTCTCGATTTAAAATTATTTGGGGTCCCATTGTTACCTTTACCATAGCAACTGACGGTTTGTAGGCGACATGTCAGACCAAATCGTTTGTTGTTTTGAATACAATATTTCATGCTAATTGTACACGATTTCCGGAAACTGGCTTATAAAAATACCCATAGAAGAAATAAATAGATCCGTTATATGTTAACATAAGTCCAACTTGCAGAGAATTCATGAGTATACCATTTATTCGTTATGGGCTGATATCCAGGCATCCAGCTGGAACTTCATTGGCCTTTCCTCAGTGTCAAAGCAATTGCAGGAACGCGACCTTTGTCTTGAGCAAAGGTCATCTTGACAGCATTGGCATTCTTGAGGATGGCAGTAGGTACATGGTACTCTATTGTTGCCCAAAGCCTCTGGGTGTCCTTGTTACTGGGGTTGTGTAGTATGTAGTATGACTGCAGCTTAATTCCATTAATTGTCGTTGAAACCGGAATATAATTGGCGGCATGATCCAGTAAACTTACTGAAATGCGAAGTCTAGCAGTCATGATGCGATGAAGATCACTGCTGTGGAGCATGATGTTCGCGTGAGTTGTTTTACTGTGTATTGTAAGCAGCATGTTGTCTCCATAATGTACAGTTTCGTAGACCAAAGGAACGTGATTAAACGTGTGACCCGTTGGGAACTGTAGGAAGCATGTGGCTTCTGGAGGGACAGTCACCTGATTTCCCTTGACGTGAACAGGTACTTCCCTGTCCAGTTGAGTGGCCCTCCTGTTGTTGAGGTACAGACAGGTTGATGTCCCGTGGGTCAACGTTACCCATCCTTTGTCAAAAGCTAGTGTCACATTAGCTTGAGCTGTGTCATAGTTGTGTAGCAGAACGGTTAGCATTTTGGAACTTGGTTCCACAAGTGCATGACTCTGTATCTGCCGCTCTGCCTGGTGGAACTGACTCTCGGATCTGAGGAACTTCATACTGCTGGTGATATTCTCCCACAGGTGGAAGGCCAGAGCTATGTCTCTCTCGTGGTAATGCTTGTCCAGGATACTATAGTTGATGCTTTCTTGGCCTTTCCGATCAGTGTAAAAGAGGAGGAAGGAAACTGCCCTATCCACCACATATCGAAGCTCAAGAAAGGTGAATATATTCGAGTTGTGAAGGTTGATGTAGGCCCAGTCCAGGAAGGTCGATGGTTTCTGGACATCGATGCCTGTGACCGTTGATAGACCATGAGCGGAGAATATGACTGGAATATCCTTGCCTGTCATCATATTGGCATATGTTTCTACCATGTCCACCGTTCCAACCATCCTAGCCTCATTCGGGCCGTAAAAGTGATGCCTGCTTCCCTGAACGCTGAAGTGATTGAAAGGATGGAATGAAAAAAAGTCGAACAGTCCAAGAGACATATTCATGAATTGTGTCATTGTGCTCCATTTTTTAAAGTCCCATTTATCCATTGTCGTTATTCCAGCAGTAAAGGCAGGCCCTCCTATTTGTATCTTGGGGTGTATGGCTTTTACCTTCTTGGCCACAAGCTCGAATACATTCACTATGGTGGTCCAGTCGACGTCCAACTTTCCAAGAGTGTTCGGTTCATTGATTGGTTCAAAATAGGGAGGGACTGCGCCGTTAGTGCCGTTGTATATTGCCTGAACGTGCAGAGATATGGTTTCTGCGGCTGCATCCAGATTGTTTGGAAAATGGCCATTGTGGGCTGATGTGTCCATCCAGGGAGGCCATAGGTAACCTGTGGAAGATATGTCTGTTATACTTTTATGTGTTGTGTAAAGACATGTCAGTTTTTCACCAGGTCCTGTAAAACTTCGGAAGATATCGTATCTATGTGCAAATGATAGGGACAAAACCAATTCTATATTCATGAGGAATCTCTGCCAAATGTCGAGTTGACAATACTATTCCGACATTTCCATGAGCTTGTATTTATGAAGTACTATCAAACATCGATGATACCAGCTCGTCACGCTGAAAACCCGGGTTCGATTCCCCACATTGGCACAATGTGTGAAGCCCATTTCTGGTGTCCCCCACCGTGATATTGCTGGAATATTGCTAAAGCGGCGTAAGCGCCAACTCGCTCACTCACCCATTATATGTGCTCGATCTGGTTCAAGCCTGGGGAAGGGGAAATTCAGGTCATGACACCAGCAGCAGCGTTATGCAAGACGTTGCGCCTCAGTACCGATGCATGTTGTCATGCTGGAATGTTAGTCTCGTGCTGCAAGAATGGCAGAAGGTCTGGGGTCACATCATCCCGATACCATATGGCAGTAAGGATACCCTGGACGACATTCAACTGAGATCCGCCTTTGGCACAGATTGGACTCCAAACCACTACGCAGCCCCCTCCACAAGCGGTCAGTCTCACGAACACAACACGTAACTTCCCACTATCCTGCCCCACACCCGTACACTGTCATGAGCAGAGGGCAATGTGTAACGTGCCTCATCGCTGAAGACAATCATGCATCTGGTTGAATCTATCTTTCTGCGGTTCCATCATAGACGTTGAGCAGGATGAAAGTGCAGGATGAAGTCAGAATAGGTACTGTGTATGATCGTCTAGTTCAGATATCTGTGGTGCGTAGTCGATTCCTGACGTTGATTTTGAAGAGTTGTCTGTTAGTTACGACAAAACGTTTTTTTAACAAACGTGCAATTTTGATTTTTAGCGATGTGCTTGCATTCCGATGCACGTGCTGACGCTAAGGCAATTGAGCGTCTTGCTGGCTGGAAGTGACTGGTGTTTCACGATTTATTTTCGGTTTCATCATTTTCATGATATATTTATTAGTTCCTCCTCTCAATTATTACCAATAATATAGGTGTCAAGTTTCGGATTTTGTTAAGTGCTATACATGAAACATATGACATTCCCTTGCTGTGATTTTGCCAATCCAGTCAGATCAGCAAGAAGGGGGGGATAACTCATTCGAATGGCGTACTACGTGCATGTATATTGTATCACAAACATTTCACTTCATCATTGATAAAATTCATCATTTTCCATCTTGTTTTCTGAATGATCTTCAGATGACACTTGCTTTCCTTGTTGACACATGACACTGCACCTCTGAAGATATACCGCTGTAAGGCGGTAACTACATCGACCTAACTATATCCAGAGCCCTGCCTCTGCTATATCGCACACACACTTTTTATCAGCATATGTACGCTTCCTTTGACTTACCTTTCAGTTCAAGCATAATTGGTTTGTCTTTTCCATATCTATTCAAATTGTCAAGATATTTCTCAACCAACTGTTGTTGAAACTGCTTGTTTTGGAAGAAGGCAGGGTTCGGATACCCCTTTCGCTTTGGATCCTCGGTCACCTATAAGAAACTAGAACTGTAAGAGTATATATTAATATCTTAGGACACGATAGTTAAATACCGACAGTGTAAATTCAGTGTCAGGCTACGCTCAGTGCTATATATAAATATTCACCCAATGATTTTTGGGGCATATTTGAAAGCAAATGCACCATGAAATATAACAGACCATATTTGTTACTGAGCCTACACTGAAAACAGATTCTGATTCTTTCACGGCCTGAATAGAGCCATGATCATTTGTAACACACGTACTTTGTCAAAATAGCTCAAGTCTGAATTCAGCCATCTTCCAGTACGTGCTCCTGTTTTCTTCACATAGGGCAAACTCCCTTTAGAGTCCAGACCCATTTTGCCATTCCACCTATCAGGGTCGAAGTTGGTTCTTCCTCCCTGTACGAGGTACTCGGGGTAAATGGTCACTGTGTACCCCGCTACACATTGTAGGGCACAGAAAGCAAGGACAGTGGCCAGCAACATGTTGGTCCAGATGGTAGTTCTATCGTCTTGTGTCAAGAGCTTGTAATGTCGTTAGCCGCACCTGTCTGGTGTCCTTGATTACTTTTATACTGTTATTATCTCTATAGATAAGGCATCACGTAAGGTAAATTCCACATGCATGTTTAAACCATGTGATCACAGGAATTTTTCTCAGGCTTTTCTCAAAGATATGCGGTCCATTATGTAACATAAACATTATTTGATATGCAAGATATTGCACTAGTAATTAAGGATATAATGGGTTTAATGGGCGATAATGGTATTTTGTTTGTTGTTTAACGCCTCAGTCAGCAATATATCCGGCTATATGATGCCGGTTTGTAATATTCAAGTTGGACTAGACAATACATTGATTGACATGTATGTATGTATGTATGTATGTGTGTGTGTGTATGTGTGTGTGCGTGCGCGTGCGCGTGCGTGCGTGCGGCAATGTTCAAAATTCTGCCGATAATTCCAAAGACTAGGACAACGTGATAAATGTCAGCAGATCGCTGGTCAGTCAGCGGTCCATTCACTCTGGTTAATGTGTGATGACATCCTACACGATGACACTGCTGCTCCCATACCGACCATTGTCGTGAATTCATGTTACCGCTCACCTCTGCCGCGCTGAAAACATCTTCTGCCAGCTTCGTCTTAGAAAGACAGAGAATTTGTTAAACTGGCATAGTGGGATAAACTCAGTGATCACCAAGTGTCCCCTGATTACACACAGGGGGCGAGAGACACGAGTTGGCACCTTGGGGTGGTTCTTAAAACATATTTCGAGAGAAAAGGTATGAATGCTATAATTTGTACAACAGACTTATTGTGAATATCATCATCTACTCACATTACCGAAATATGTGAGACGGCAATACCCACCCCGAAGCAGATCCCTATCCGGTGCAGAGGCACGTGATACCAGCAGACGACAAGGAAGTGCAGACGATATTGAGGAATGCTAGGGACGTGGCCGTGAGCAGTTTTCAGAAAGGATGAAAACGTCAGTTTGGCAAAATATAACTTTTTCAAATGGAAACCCGAATCACACCGAAAGTGGCAATAAAAGAAACAATGATGGCAATAATGTTTCATTCTTATGTCGGAATGTAAACGGCCTCTTTCCCAAGTTATGTCAGTGTAAAAATATGGCGGATTTGTGTGATTCACTTGCATTTATGCGCGTTTGATTACAAACAAGAGAAAAGTCCGGTCACGTGATATGCCAATTAGCCTGTGGCAGTGATGTTATGTTAAGTCATCGCTGTGCCGGAGTGTGCATCTGCCTGTGAGAGTAAACTTAACCAAACCACGTGACACATCATGTGACCACAGTCCATCCGAGCCTGCACTCGCATATACCAGCAACATCAAGACGTTAGAAGAAAAACGGAAGGGTGAGTTTGCTCAAAGTATTTATGAAAATATCAACACTTCTAGTAAGGAATTATTTGTTACATTGTTACATCTTATAGCAATACTGCTACCCAAAGTGTTATAAATAATAAGCAGTTCTAATGGAGAAGCACATCACCCTACGAGGCTATGTACACAACACTCAGTTGGTAATTTATGTACACCTCATGTATAGCTACATTCGAATATTTAGTTACCCAGTTTTGTCGGTAGTAGACATGTACGCCCGAAAATGCATTACTTATGCAGAAGAAAAAGATATTTTTCACCAACATCCAGATGCTGAAATAGTACAACGCCGCGGCTGCAGCCGGGTCTTCATCATTAATCAGAGAAACACAGGAGCCAATAATCAACGTGCAAATCACCAAATAGATTTCTAAGGTGTTTTCATGAACTTGTGAATATTCAGATTTAGTTATTCCTATGGATTCCTTACTTTAAAGATATATGTCACACTTATTGTCATTTGGTATTAAGAACGCAACTTTCACGATTGTATTTAACAATTCACTTTGCATGTGGTTACTTATCGTACGAAATAAGTGGACTATATCAGCGAGACAGCGTGGGCAATCTACCGGCAACAGAGAACACAATGGGCTCAATTACAATTGGTCGAATTGACCTGCCGACACAAAGTCCGAGGGGTCAGACATTTGTCATCTCTCCGGGGTATTCTCGACTAATACTATTCAAATAATTGAATAGTCCATCCAATGCACCCTTTTCTGCTGGGCTTGGGTTCACTAAAGTATTCAGACAGACCCTTCCAGGCATGACAGGGCTTATGTGGGTCTTCCCAATTCAATTCCTTTATTGTCATTCAACCACCATCGGTGGTACAAGAGAAGACAGTACATACAAATTATGCGTACAAAAACAAGGTGAAGGTGAATTTTGGTTATATTTGGTGAAGTTGAATATGACGACTTTAGTTTTTGAGACGTTAACGTAGCTTCCATTGTTGACAATAACTTGCGAAATTATCTAAAGTATTTTATAAAAGAACTGTGTTGTCACTCATTAGTACAGTGTCGTCAGCATATAACAATAACAGAAACTTAATCCCAGTTTCACCTGTTTTCGGCGACGTAACAGCGATTCGCGGTACATATGTAACCATGCTATCGTAATAAAAATATTTTACATTCAAGACAAAGTACGTTAGCCAAGGTGTTTCCTCTTACTTTTTTATGATTCTCTCGGCTTTGTCGGTTGAGCAAGGCCGCCATGACCGTAACGTTCTATATTTGGCAACTTGAGCATTACGTCACCAGTTTTAAACGATAACGTTATACACAGAATATCTATGGTGTTCCAATGTGGATATAATTCATCAAGGCAAATTCGTGTCTTCTAGTCACTTGTAAATCTTTAAGAGTTAAAATAAAATGTCAGTTCAACAATTTCAAGCACAGATAACGATGAAATCCAAACAGGTTATATACACTGTTGATGACAGTTTATGAATGCAGTTCACTCTTCCACTGGGCTGTGATCACAGTGGGGACAGAAAAATGCCGCATGTGTAAGTAAAACGGTGACACTTGTACAAAAGACAAGGTGAACCCAGTGACCACATTTGTCACACTGTGCCCATTTCACAAACGTGATTAAGTCACAACGATGCAATGCATCAGGTGTAAATTTTCCGCACACACAGCAAACTTCGTTGTCATCAGTTGCACTGTCGGAAAAACTGTCTGAGAAGGTTGTTGATGGGGGCGGAGCGTTGCGTTTCTTGCGTGCAGGTCCTTTCCCTTTTGACTTATTCTAGGCAGAATTCCATTTAGACAACAGGGACGATGTGGACAACGATGTAGTGCCGCTTGACTTCTTCTTCCCCTTGCCGACTTCCTTATCAGCCTTCCGTTTCTCTGGATGCTGTTTCTTGTGCTCGGCTATCCTGTCAACAACTGCCTGATCAGTGATGACTTTCCCGCCAACGATTTTACTGATGGTGTTCCTTGACTTGTATGTTTGAACATTTCTCAAAACTTCTCCACCCCGACATTCCAAGAATGTCCTTGCAGTATCCAGTCTGTCGTCGGTGTCCTGTACGAGCGTACCTGTTGAACTTGAAACCGCGGGTGTCGGTGTAGAGAAAGATCGGGCCGGCATTACAGCCAAGTCATCAATCCCTTCGGGGTTGAGGGGGAAGATTCCTGATTTTGTGAAAGATGACAAAATGTTAACAGGACTTAACGTTGAGTTGAAAACACGACATGCTATGCTGCATATATCACGCTTTCCGATAGCTTTTCCAGAGTTCACTCTTAAAGGTCACATAAACCCTAGGGGGTACAAATACATAAAACACTAACTGGCATCGTTATAAATGAAACCCCGTCATTAAAACTACTCATTTCGACCTTTAATTGATTTAAATCGACCTTTTTGACAACAGTGCACAATTCTCACCCGCGAACGAAATTTCAACCAATCAGGGCGGCGCGCCTCTGTGACGTCATATGAAGAATAGCTTTGAGGGCCGATGCAGAATTCATCTACATTTTAGGGGGTAAATTATCTTGTTTACAGGCTTGTATAAACCTAAAATCGTGACAATTGTTGTGGAAAATGAAAGCTATATGTTCTCACAATCTACTGTCATTTAATTTTGTCTCCTGCTTTGCCTAGTTTCCGAGTTACAACTTGTTTTCAAAGACGATTCTGTCAAAATCGATTGGTGTCGTTAGGCCCTATTTGTATAATGACTGATCCAAATTGATCCCATTTCTGTGTTTTTTACCTCGATATTTAATCATGTCATGTAAAAATCTGTTTGTATTCTCAAAACAGTGTCGGCCCATAAGTTTTCACATGCAATACAGCAATTAATACTCCCTTGTTGTAACCCGTGTTAGGTGGTATAAACCTACACATGTTACTTGTCATCATTCACTTGATGGTCAGTTAATGAATTTATAACAGGTATAATTAGTGGTAACACACTTAGATTACCCGACAAAGGTTCCCATTTGGCATTTCTTGTGTCTGGAGTAAATATTCAACATTATAAACATCGATCAAAGGATTAACCGATAACACGCTGATTGATTAATTACTTTTATCTTACACAGCGGAATTGTCAAAAGGTAGTGTTTATGTGTGTAGATTTACTAATCTATACTGAATATACTCTGTCGTGTCGGCGTCTGCGTAAAAACAACGTCCTTCTTTCAAAGGATTAACCGGCAATACATTGATTGCCCATTATTGGCTAACTAATTTACTGTTTTTAAAGAAAGGCGGACATTATGCAATTAGTTGCCAGGTGTGCTATCTTGGGTGACCAATGAGACTGTACACCAACACCTGAAAAGATTTATCACTTTTTCGTATATTAAACTGTTAAAAGACACATCATTTGGAACAGTTTTGTGGATATTGATGGATACATTCCCCGAACAAGGTAATGGCCTGATATTGTTCTTATAACTTTAATCTGTTTTAATTTTAATATTTGCATTTTGTTTTTATTCATTTGTCGTAGCATTCAACAGAATCATTGTTTTCGCCGTGAAGTGTAATGAGACAGACAACATGCACTAGGGTGTGTGTGCGAATTATGATTCACATTGGCAAACTATAAAATGTCTAGATATTACAGTTCTGTTATAAATTCACTATAAGTATCAGCAGATCGTCTGCTTTCTATT